AAAGGGTTTTAAAGCATGAAATTTCTACTTTCAAGAACTTATTTTATTTTTTAAATTTATGTGAATTTTGTATTTTTGAAATATAAAATTACAAGCTGAAAAAAATGAAAAAATTTGTTCTCGCTTTATAGATCTGTCACGTGCCCAAAACACATGCGAAAATGTTCCACTATCTATCGAAAACAAAGTTTTCGCTATAAAACTGTTTTTTTTTAATATTTCTACAACTTTTTTATTTTGAATTAAATAAAAAGAAGCAATAAAAAGAAGCCAATTTTGATTGTTCATTAACGGCGAAATCGCAATTAAAAAAATTCCTAAAGCTGAAACGTTGCTCTATCGAGTGAAATAAATGTCAATTTTTAAAAAAATAGAATATATATATATTTGAGCTAAAAACATAATATTACTTTCCTTCTATATAACTATTGCGCAATGGTTACAATGAAAGTATAGTCATATTTTTAACTCAAATTTATATATATTCAATTTTTTAATAAAATTGGCAATTAAATCATTCGATGAAAAAAATTTTAGCAAAGTTTTAGCTTTAGAAATCTGTATCTTTAATTGCGGTATGATAATTTGTAACACAGTTATGAGTCGGAATGTTCCTTTTTACTTAATTCAGTAACAAAAAATCGTAGAGAGACTTTTTTTATAAACGAATTTTTAGAGAAAGTTTTAAGCTTTTACGATAATGGAATTTTTCAGATAATTGAAAACTTCGCAATAAATATATTCTGTATATAATTTTGAGTTAACACAAAATTTGAAATGAAATTTCCGAACAACTTAATATTATTTAACAGACGATTAATTGCAGTAGCATATTATATAAATGTAGAATATGGAAAAAAGAAAAAAATGTTGTATGAGGCTTGGTTAGAAATGTTTAAAAGTTATAAACAGTTGTAATATATAGAACATGAATTAAAAAACAATAGATTTTACGTTGTGCAAAATATCTCGCGTTTATCTCGTGTAAATATTAATATCTTACTTGAACTCAGAATGCACTTTTATCTCTAAAAGTCTATAATATGCGTAACGTAAATTATTGCATGTCAGTGTGCTAAGCGTTGTGTGTGTAAGCGCGTTTTGAATATGGGCTACTATTTTTAAATGATTCAGTATTATTTCGATGATTGCGATACTGTACGTTATGAGACTGTGTAATCTTTGCATGTCTTTTGTATTAGTACGCGTCGAGCACGAGTGCCGCGAAACGATAATCAGTGTATCACGAGCTTAGCATCTTACAACATCTTGTAACATTTTATTAAAACTGTTTGTAATAAAAATGTAGACTTTGTCGCATTATACCACGAATATCCCATCAATAATTATTCCAAAGTATTTTAAGATTTGCCATTTTTATTTTCTAATATGGTTATTATAAGTTTCCTCATATCTCTGAGTTCTGCAATTAGTTGAAGATGTTTTCGAGTCCTTTTACTGCGTGATTTGTTGGCTCTTTGTAATTCTTAGTATTTGAATTACTGATCATGTCTACTTTATTGGAACTGGACATGGCCAAAAGTTAGTTCTAGAAGGATCTGATCTAATGATGTTATTAATAGGTTTCATATTTATTTTTTATCGGAGAGGAATATCTTTGTCTGTAATTCTGAATGTTAAAATGAATATTTTTCAATTCTGAATGCATTTTTATTCATTTATAGGAATTGCATGGAGCATATCTCTATGCCTTTCAATCTAAAAATATTAACTTTTTCTGTGCACACAAATATAATTATGAATACTGTTCAGAATTGAATAGGAAATACAGTTTTTCAATCCAATTGCATTCAATTGAATCTAATTGAATCCAATTGAATCCAATTAAATCCAAAAAAAGTATTCGCTATTTAAAATACGCATTTAGATAGAAAAAAATTTCAATCCAATTTAATCCATTCTCGTTTGCTGGGTATTCACTATGGAAAGCGACACGAAATCTTAAAAAACAACCCACGCAACCAATTCTACCTATTAGGAAAATGGACAATATCTGGGCTAGAACCAATTTAATAAAGGCTATAACATTCTCTAAACACTTGGAAAATGTCTTTCAACCAAATCTGACAGAATCTCATTCTAATGAAGATAAATACATTAAGAACAACTTATTTTCTCCACATCACCACCTATCAAGCCACTTAGAAGCAGCAATATTAAAAAAAACGATTAATACAAAATTAAAAACAAAAAAAAGGGTCCCGGAATTTGATCTTATCACCAATGAGGTGTTACGAAAACTATCTGATATAACCTTCCATTTTATCACGCGCGTATTTACAACGCAATACTCAAAAACGGCTCTCCTTACAGTGGAAAATAGCGCAAATTATTCTAATACCTAAATCGGGCAAACCTCTTGAAGAGATAACATTATCGCGTTACAAATTATCGTACCGCAATTAAAGATACAGATTTCTAAAGCTAAAACTTTACTCTATCGAATGATAAAATTGCCAATTTTATTTAAAAAATAGAATATATACAAATTTGAGTTAAAAACATAACTATACATTTGAAATTATTGCGCAATTACAAAAGGAAAGTAATATTATGTTTTTAGCTCAAATGTATACTATCTTTTTTAAAATTGATGTTTATACCACTCAATATAACAACATTTCAGGAATCTGGTTTTTTAATTGTGATACGATGATTTTTGTCGGAGTAATGAATAATCAAAGTCAGATTGCTTCTTTTTATTTAATTAAAATAAAAAAAATTGTAGAAATATTTAAAAAAAAGTTTTAGCGGAAACATCAAATTTTCACTCTTTCAACTTGTAGTATTGTATAAAATTACTCACATATGCTCAAAAAATATAGTAAGCTTTTGAAAATAGAGATTCCAAGCTTTAAAACCCTTTTTCTAAATTTCAATTTCGTTCATTCCTAATAAAGATGTACATATAATTTTGAGTTAACAAAATTTGACACAAACAACTTAATATATACTTAATATATACTTAATATATACTAAGACACTTTGTATATGTATTACAGATATATTTAGGTTTACACAATTTGCTTTTGCTATAGCTAGCTGCTAAAGTCAGTATATATATATATATATATATATATATATATATATATATATATATATATATATATATATATATATATATATATATATATATATATATATATATATATATATATATATATATATATATATATATATATATATATATATATATATGTGTGTGTGAAATACAAAAAATAAAAATTGTAGCGACGATTTAGAACATATAAAAGATAATTTTATTAAGAAAACAAGTATTTGTTTTATCTGTGCTCTAGTGGAGATGTATGGAAATAATATATTACATATATATTATAAGATATTACAAAGATCTCAACTTTTCTATATAAGTACTTTAAATATTCAAGATGTACCCAGACAACAAAAAGTGTCTAAAATCAAATCGACGTCTAAAAAAATGACTTAAAGACGTCTCATGTCATACTTTTAGATTTTGCGTTGTTGGGTATTATATTATATAAAGATTTACTGCGATGCAGAAATTGCATGGTTATATTGTTCTATAAATAAACAGTATTTTAAGTTAAAACTCTTGACATTGTTTAAATATTTGTTTATAAAAATTGATAAGTACAAGCACACATAATTAGCTTGGCTCATCAATCCTTCTCTTAATTTGTTTTATTGTTAACAAAATATATTGTTCCCTATTTTATTAAACACCTAATTTTTATGTCGCAATGAAACTTATAACTACATTTTAAATACGTAAAGTACTTATACAAAAAAAGTTTAAATTAATTTTGTCATTATATGCTTTTCAAATTTTAATATTGTGATAAAAAAATGATAACAAATAAAATAAATAAAAATGTATTTAAGAGAGAATTAAGATAGAAATAAAATGCGTGAAATACAACTTTTAAATGTATATAGTTTATTATTTGAAATATAAATATTAGCACATTTGTAAAAAAAAGGGTGTAATATATCTCTAATATTAATCTTTTTAAACGAAATAAACATAACGCCCATGTAAGATTGTAGAGATGAATATTTCTGATCCACATTTTGTGAATGTAGCACGATAATACGAATCAAATATCGAGTCAGCCTAAAAAGTGGACCTTGCTATGTAGCTTAAATCCATTTTGTCAGGAGGCAGTAGTGCACGGCAGTATTTTGCGATTACAAGTTTTAGGCCGTCATATCTCTCTCAAGTTTCTTTGTTTTGACGTACGCCTTTACTACAAGCATCCGCTTTACAAGCAGCAGTATAATACATAATGTCACAAGATGGACTCGTTTCCCGTAAGGAGAAAACGATGAATATGAGCTGTTTGCGCGTACCAAATGCAATATTTGCATTGCTGCAGAGTCAACATTTTGAGTAATATCTACATTAAGCAAGTGAATAAATACAATGTAAGTAATGAGAAAACACAAAAATTAAAATTACGTTTTGTTTTTTTTGTGATTTTCTCCACAACGAAGTAAAAACGAATGTTACCTCTACAATCTTTTTTCTTAGTTTATCGATCCTCTATACACTCCTTTCAAACACTCTGTATATCGAATGATATAACTGATGATAGTTAATCCATTTACTTAAGATAGATTGATATAAAATAACCAGATTTTATAGTCTATGTTAGATTTGCGATTTCTTCTATTTTTGTACATGTGTTCCTAATAAGGCTCAAAAATAATTTTTTCTTGAAATCACAATTTTTTTCTTAAAATCATAAGTATTTGAAACGTTTCATACTTTTTAGTGTTCAGAAAGGTTCCCTCTTTTGAATTTGACCATCAGTTTTTAATTTCAGACCCAGCAAAGATTACAAAAAAGTCACAAAACTTAAATAGACCATATACGGTGCAATTATTTTATTTAAAAACAGTGTTTAAAAATATTATTGAAAATCTTATAAAATAAAGTATATATGTATATATCATATATAATGACAAGATAACAAATATTATACTTAAAGTAAATATTATTCGAACATTTCTATAAACATGAACCAGATGATCCAAAAGATTACAAAGAAAAATATAGTTTTGATGATTTGATGTATCCAATACAATCTAAAATTAAACATTTTGTCTATAAATAAAAACGAGAAACTTAAATTGGAAAGATTAACTGAAAGTGAGATTTATTACCTTACATATTTCATACGACTAACTTTCAACATACTGTCATTTTCATTAAGTTGATAGCGCCGCAGACCTTGATAATGATTAATTAAATATTCTGTCCAATTAAATTCCACCATATTAAACTGAAATAATTGTTGATCTTTCTCATTGAGATTATCCCACATTGAGTGAATATTATCAGTAGAATAAGTCCATTCTGTGTTACAAAAAGGTTCCATTGCTTTACAAAATTTGTCCATTTTCATGTATAATTTCCACATTCTGAAATATATTGAATATTGTTAAAATTATTCAGATTATTAATATAATTTTATTAGATTTGAACAGAAACTATCATGGTACATACAGTTGGTCATAGAAAGCAACACTTTTTTCGATAGGTTTTCGAATGCAGCTTACTCACCAGATTGGTTCTTATTTATCCATGAATAAGAACCAATCATTCAATGAGCAAGCTGCATTCCGAAACCCATCGAAAAAAAAGGTATTGCAACCTTTCTATGACCATTTGTACATTAAGGCCCAGTTTCATAACTCTTAATTGAGATTCAATTTATTCAATGCCTCTTTCGTATTCTAGAATTGGAAAGAGATGAAAAACGAGAGTCGTACTTCGGTGAGTTAATTCTTAAGAATTGGGCTTAAATGAGTGTATTGAGTATGACCATTCATTAAGCGCTGAGGTTGTAAAACTGAATACACCCAACAAAGACACAGTATTTATATTTAAGGCTAATGCATATAAAAATTTTAATCATAATTGTAAGAGAGTTAAAAAAAATATTATAGACAGAAAATCTATCAAGGCTGTGTGACTCGGTGGCAGGACGAAAATCTACCAATATTTCCTTGTGCAAGAAAAAATTCAGGACCAACTTCACGACGCGATAGAGGTATTTATAATCGATTCATTTAAGACTGTCGTAAGTAAAATCTTAAGATGTCGTAAGTCTCAATCCGAGGACTGTATTAACATTTTAAGGCATTTATAATATAGACGTTTCATAGTTGTAGCCCTTGGGTGCGTTCCGAGTTAACGAACAAAGCACACGATGCATCATTTGTCCTCGTTCATCAAATAATAAAGGATAAAACGATACATCAGTGTAACTCGAAATCTCTTGAACTCGGAATCTCATGAATATCTAGACAGAGTGGGCGGAAATTTAAAGAGATACCGTCCAACTGCACACACGATGGAATCCCTTTCACATTTATGATATTTCACTCGCGTTGCTTCTGCACACAGGACGCAGCAACGCTTGGCCCCGATGCAGTACCCAATCAATTTATTGTTTTTTGCAGTTTTATAGTTACGATTACAATTTTTACGTGCAATGGCCTTTGCTTGATACCTCGGTCTACGTCCAATACAAATACTGGCGCCATCCAAAAGTAAAGCAGGAAGGAAGTGACCGAACCAAACGCAAAATCTGTATGGTATCTCATGTTTGAAGAAAGTCATTAATGGCAAGTATATGGCATTATGCAAGGGATACATTTTATTGTTGTCAAGTAGTGCATAATTGTATTCATTCCAAGTAGGACCATCGATTGGCGAAACGAAATTATAAATTAACATGTCCTTGGCCCGCCTAGAACATAAATCTGTATTTAAATAAAATATATTATTAATATTAAACAATAAGAATCTTACTGACCCGTACATTTGGAAACTCAATAATAAGAAATAGAAGTAATGGTCACAAAGCTAGATCTTTGATGTTAAAATTATTCAATCTAAATTACTATATATATATATGTATATTTATATATAGTTATTAATTCGAACTGCCGAATTGATTTTTCGAACTTATAAATATTAAACCACTGTAGTAATATCACGAATTAAATTGACAAGCAATTTTAATAATTTGATGCTCAATCAAGCATCTTATTAGAAAGATGTTAATGTGCTGAAAGACTATAAATAAATTTATTGCGGAAAATATTACCTCGTCCGGGACCGCGAATCGAACGATCGAATCTACTGTATTTCGTACGAGCATTCTAAGCCTTTAGACTACCAAAGCCTTAATAAAATAAGAAGTTTATAAAAATATTCTATAACTTTTTGCACTAATAAAAACTCTACACAGGATATCCTGAAATTCGCAGATTAGACTATCACAGACAAAAAGTTTTCAAAAAATTAAGTAAAAAGGTTATTTGTGAATTTTTATTTTATGCAGTAGTTTTGGCCATTTTAATATTTATTATTTATCTGACCTTGGCGACGCCACCCAAGGCCAAACTGCTAGCATCACTAAATACATTATTTCATATAATGCAACATTTGTCTGAAACATTTTTCTCAGAAGCTTATACTTTTCGAGATATTCTACCAGTCCAGGACATATGGAACACCCTGATACTATAATATTGCATATATAATTGTTCTTTGATGCAATTTTCTTTGAACACATTATATTCATTCTTATGTACTCGTTATTCCTCATATTTTCTTTTTTATAATTACAACAATATAAATCGCGTGAACCTGATCGTACCTGTGTTGTTTGTGAACATCCCACGCACTAGCAATTAAAGCGTTTACAGTAAAATCAACAGGCACTATATTCGCCTTGAGATTGCCATTACAACGATGAAATCTTACAATACCAAGTAGCAAACTCGTTGCGATACCTGATGGCCCATATATATTGTCGATCCATCCGATAAGTGGTTCACTGGCGCTAGATATAACTAAAATGAATCTTAATTATTCCTCTGCGTAGACGCACAAGTATTTATATTAAATATAATTAAACGTACTCGTACGCAAGCACCCTAAGTACCCTAAAAGACTTTAAAGGATGATTCCTCGTACAAAAAGGAATTGACCTCGAGGAAGGAAAACCAAAACAAAAACTTCATATGATTATGTCTCGAAACAGTTTAATTTCAAAGATATATAATATCAAAATAATAAAAAGATGTTTTTTCTAAAAAATTTCGAAAATCATTCAGGTTATTTTAATGAAACTTTAAATGTGTTTAAAGGATAAGAAGCCGATCATTTTTTGAGGTTATACATTTTTTTTATTCAATTAGAAGCCAACACAAAGATAAAGCGACTCTCCTTTTTTTATGAAAAAAATTGATATGCAATTGATTTCTTTATGTTCAAAATTTTTTTGTGATAAATAGGATATCAACAGAAAAGCATTGGGAAAATTCGCAGAAAAATATCTCTTTAATATTTTCGATAGAATAAATCATTTCTGAGATCAATATCAAATAAATCGTAATAAGATCAATCAAATGATTTTGGAGTCAACAAATTTGAATTTATTTTTTTCCTCGGAAATGATTTATTCTATTGAAAATATGTAAGAGACCTTTTTTTGTTCATTTATCCCAATTTTATTTATCTCAATTATCTTAAAGAAATGTAAAACTTAAAAAAAATCAGTGGCGTATCAATTTTTTTCGGAAAAAAAGCCTACCCGCTTATCCTTGAGTCCGGCTTTGATTAAATAAAAAAATAATGCATAGCCCGAAAAGATAAGGCTTCATACTGTTAAACATACAAAAATTTTTTTAAACAATCTGAATGATTTTTGGAATTTATGGAAAAAATGGAATTTTTTTCATGTTTGATTATGTATCTTTGAAACTAAACCGTTTCAGACATTTAGTCATATAAAATTTTCGTCTTGAATTTGTGTGAGGGATCATCTCTTGAAATCTGTTAGTGTAAGACATACCACATAGATGTGCCATACTACGTGTTGCAAACTAATCGTGCAAAATTTATGCACGGTAGCAAATAGTTACACTGTATATAACTTATACAGTTATGGAATTTAGTAAAGTCTTTGCTAAAAAAATCTATTAGTTTTTATAATGAATTATATTGTTACTAATTGCAGGTCGAAATATTCCAATTGGTAAATCTCCACTTTCGTTTTTAAAGAGTCCTTCTGCAATCGCCTTCGTAAATGTGTATGTATTCGGCCATTGTGAGGAAATTCTGCTCAAAAAATGATAAGTTAATATTATTTCCTATATTTATATTATTGTTGACACATGAATAAATGACTGAAATAAATGTTAAATTTAATTTATGTTTCTTTCTCAAAATAAGTGAAAACTTTATGACATATATTAATTATATATGCATGTATATAGTATATATTATATACATATATTAATTATATATTAATAATTTTTGCTAATTACTATTGTTAAAACATATTGTTAGATCAATTACCTTCAAATTCGGCATGCGTTTTGCAAGTTTTAAGATGGTAGCAGTAGCATCAATGTTTACTATTGTAGAAATTTTGATCTTTCCGTAGAATTGCATATTTGCTGCCATATGAAAAATTATGGATACCTAATAATAATAATCGTTACACATTATTTTAAGTATAATAGAAATATAGAAGAAAGAGAGAATTTATTTCTTTGTTGATAGTCATCCCAGATAGACAAAGAGTTAAAAAAAAATTCAATGATATGTCATCAATTCTGAATTCATTTTCAGATGCAAAATGAATTCTTTTTCTGAAAAGTTCTGAAAAAAATTCTTGTCAAAAAATGAATTTTATTATATGTTTTCAAAAGAAATCTTGAAGACAGCTATAAAAATATTTAATAAAAAATGAGGAGTTCCATTAAAAAAATTTTTAACCTTGATCTGACCTTAAGATTATCTGACCTTAAGACTAAGGACAACCAAGGTCATCAACTTCTTTTTCCCTTCAAACCATAAAACTCTTGTCTGAAACATTTTTGCCTTAAACTTATAGATTTTGAGAAAATCGACTGGATAAATTAAAATAATTCACCCTCTATATATACATACATATATATGTATATATGTATATATAATATGTGTATATACAGGATAGTTAGGACAAAATATTTGGGACAATTTTTATGTGCAGATAGAGCGAACTAAACTGAGTCGAAAAGTCTTTTACAACTTTCCAATTTTTGCAATAATTAACGAGATATTCATTTCTAAAGAATAAGTACCGAATAAGCACATATTCGGACGATCACCAAATGCATGTATTAATTATTAATTATTAAAAGTCACTGTATTAGCCCGGCTTACCGCCTAATAATGCAAGCGCACAGTGATCGAGGTTACTGAACACCTTATTAGTAGTAAACATCTTGTCGCGTACGTAGCTACCTCGATCGCTGGGCGATTACATGACTGCATCTCGCCGTGCGCTTGTATTTAGCAATAGGCTACGCTAATACAACGATATTTAATAATTAATAACTCGTTAACTATTACAAAAATTGAAAACAGCATTTTTCGACTCAGTTTAGTTCGCTGCATTTGCATATGAAAATTGTCCTAAACATTCTAAGATACCTTCTATATAACACCTTATATGTGTATAATATAAGCTTTTTTAGACATATATAATTACATACATAATTTTTTATGTTAAAATATAATACAGACGAGAAAGTTAATAAGTGTAATTTTAATTACCTTACTTATTAGCATGTTTCTATCACTTTCTGACAATCCCAAATCTTTGATATTGGAATCTCCTATGATTGGTACGATTTTTTTGTGAAAATTAGGTACTTCTTTTTTTACTCGGTCATAAAGCTGTGGATTATATAGATTTATATAACAATGGTTCACAAATATATTATGTTTTTATATAGTTTGTGTATTAGATACTAACCGGACTTTCAAGCATTTCGTCCAATCGATTTTCGGGGCTTTTATCTTTTTGTGAACGTACCATTACATATATCATAGAAATATCAGGACAGCTTCGTAACAGTTTCTCGATCAACATTTTTCCAAGAAAGCCTGTACCTCCTATCAAACAAAATATAAACAAATTAGAAAAATAATATACTAGTGTGATCAAAAAGTATCAGGACTGGTCTAATAAAATCAAGGTTGTGCGTGTTACTTCAAAAAAGTAAGCCATTACCGTTACTCGAAAAGGAATAATTCGTTATCTTTTTTTATAATGCTGAAGTAAGTTATTAGATTTTAGAATTACATTAGCTGATAATTTAATATTAAATGTGAAATAAATATATAACTTGAAACTCTCTACTAACTATAGTTTGTATATAGAGCAAGCTTTTTTTTATATTAAATTTATCTATCAGTTTTATTAATTCTTTATTTTCTTAATATCGTTATTTTACTGTATTCATTTTTATAAGAATTTGGATTATACAGATAATTATACACATTAAATATCATTTTTAAATGTTAATGTCCTCTGTTGGAAATAAATCGGTGAAATCTTTATCAATTGACTCAGTATAATTCATAATGAAATGAGTCAATTGATGGAGATTTCAGCAATTTTCTATGATTTCAGCGATTGATTTCCAGGATTACTATTATGGGATTACTATCCAGGATTACTATCCAGGATTTCTATTATGTGTATTTCAATATTTATTGTCTTTATCGTAAAAATTTACAGTCTAATAATATATATGTAATATGAATTATATATTTTCAACATTGGCAGTGCCTATTAGAACACAATATAAAATATTAAGTATAAAATATTTTTTAAGAAATTATAAAATAAGAAAATAATAAGGAACTAAAGTAACGGTAAAAGTAACGACTAAATTCCTTACCATTACTGTAAAAATGTAACGACGTTACCGTTATCGTTACAGACAGAATAAAGTAATGATTGTTACTGAAAAAAGTAATGATAACGGCGTTACAAGTAAGGCGTTACTTCCTAACCCTGTAATAAAACGCAAACTACGAATTTATTCACATCCAAATTTATTTGATTCTCTTCAAAACAATTCCCTACCACTGCAATATATTTATGTCAACGTTACTTCCGATATATCCTTGACGCATATTAATAGTATATATTGCATAACCTTTAGAACGTGCAGTGGTATTCTTTTTTATCGGATCTATCCATTCAAAATGATATCCAGGAGGATTTTCATATACATAACAACGACATTAATGTAAAAATAAATAAATAAATAAATAAAGAATAGATATTTTTAGTTTAAAGAAATATAATATTGAGAAAATGGCAAAACTTTGCGAAGATACTTCATGTAATAAATAATAGAACACTGTGTGATTCACTAAAAGTAGTACCGTTTGAGATGTGGGAAGAAAAAAGACCAAATTTAAGAAATCTACAGGTTTTTGAAGCATTTGCCAAAGTGCTCGATTCTCTTAAAAAGCTGGATGTGAGAAGTAAGAGTTACTGTTTTGATGGATGTGCATCTTGTGGATATAGACTAGACTGTAAGAAAAGAAAAATTTTGATAGCCAGAGATGTTAAATTTTGTTCAACAGAAATAAAAGAAAAAGTCAAGAACAATGAAACTGAAAGAAACAATAATATATTTAGTATCTGCATGAAGAAGATGAAGAAAATGAAAGCCTGGAAAAGTTTCAAGAACAAAATTTTGAAGAAGAAGGAGATGAATTTCAGGATGTTAAAGGAATAGAGGAGGAAGATCGAGATCAAGATAAAATGTGAACAAGATGTGAAGTACATAAATGATAACGGAATAAGAAAATCTATGAGACGAAGAAAGACAGAGAAATTTAAGGATTATGCTTACATTACATATAAAGAAGCCGTTACAGATACTGATAAAATTGAATGGATAGAAGCAATTAATGAAGAAAAAGTTTCATTAAAGGAAAATAATGTATGGAAAGCTGTAGACAAGAATAAAGCTAAAAATACAAAATCTCTTCATAGTAAGTGGGTCTTCAGAATAAAAGAGAAAGGAAAATACAAAGTAAGACTTATCGTTAAAGGATGTGAACAGAAAGAAAAATTAAACTATCAGGAAACCTACAGTCTTGTGATAGATGCATTAAAAAACATTTTAGCGATAGCAACAGCAAGAAATTATGAAATAATTACACATGAAATAATTTGACATAAAGACAGCTTTTCTTTATGGAGAACTAGAAGTAGATATTTATACCTACCAGAGGGTTATAATTACAAGAATAAGATTCTCAAACTAAAAAGGCTTTATATAGAATGAAGCAAGCGCCTTTGAGATGGAACGTGAGATTTACAAATTTTCTCAAGAAATTGGGTTTTAAATCATTAAGCACTGAATAATATGTTTTAAAAAAAATGAATAGCACTGTAATTCTTTAAATTTACGTTGATGACGGAATTTTGACAGAAAGTAATTCTGGAGAAATGGAATGCATTATCAAGAAACTGAAAAAAGAATTTAAGATAAAAGTACGAGGGCAAGTCAATAAGTTATTAGAAAAGAAGGCACTCGCAGTGTCATGTCACATTACTTTTTGACAAGTAGCATCTTTCAAGATTACTCAAATTTTGAGCGGAATTCATCGCGTGGTTTCATTTCTGTAGACTATTAAAGCGAACAACCTTTGTATTTTTTGCAAAATGGAAAAAAACGAGTTTCGTGCAATGATCAAACATCTACATATGAAAGGTTTAACGCCGAAAGAAATCAAAGCCGAGTCGGATAATGTCATAGCACATCTGCACCAGCGTTTGCGACTGTATACAATTGGATAAATGAATTTAAATGTGGTCGTACATCCTCATGTGATGCACCTCGTTCGAGACATCCAATTGAGGCTACTACACCAGAAATCATCGATAAAGTTCACGATATTGTTTTGACTGATCGACGAGTGAAAGTGCGCGAGTGAAAGTGCGTGAAATATTCTCATTGGTAAAGCAAAGTTACTAACTTTTCGCTGCTATAAAAAACTAGCAGCAGGTTGTTCCACCTTTTGGTAAATTTTACCTGTTGAATAAGCAAAATTACCCAATCACATGTGCGGATTGCCAGATTTATTTAATAGGTAAAATTTACCAAAAAGTGGAACAACCGGGCCTAAGTAACCTAACTTGACCGATGTGAATGGGGTTGCTTTCTGTTTCACGCATGATGCATCCCCAGCAAATGAGAATGGATTGAAATGAATTAAAATGGATTCAGATTTTCAGAAATATTGATTCACTAATATTAAAATGAATGCTTTTCAATCCTGAATGCATTTTTATTTATTAGTAGGAATTGCATGGAGCATATATCTATGTCTTTTAATCTAAAAATAATATTAGCTTTTTCTGTGCACAAAAAATACATTGTGAATACTGTTCAATTTAAAATTTTGAATAGGAAATGCAGTTTTTCAATCCAATTGCATCTAACTGAATCTAATTGATTCCATTTAAATCCAATTAAATTCAAAAAAAGTATTCGCTATTTAAAATATGCATTCGGATAGAAAAAAATTTCAATCCATTTTAATCCATTCTCGTTGCTGAGTCATTTATTCTTGTTACTCACCGAATGTTAAACAAGGATAAATGATGCTTCATGCGTAAAACCGAATGCACTTTGGACATTGTGCGCTAACGAAATTCTGCCGTGAAATATGATATTCGTTGAATGATAGGCATAAAATCACAAACAATAAGACAAGAAAAAGATATAAATTTAAAATCTAAAAAAATTCAATATGTACAAATTCAACAGCCTTCAATATCTAAAATAACCTTAAATATCCAGTCAATCAAAAATGGATTAAAATAGATTGAAAATTTTCAATTCATCCATATTTTAAAAATGAATTGGATTACATATAAAAAATTTTTATACACGTAAAAGTTTAAATAAATTAAAGCAGTAATTACATGAAATTCTATAGTTATTATTTTAAAACTTTTATACAAAAAAATATGCGCTAGCTGTATAATAAAGGAAACGTATTAATATAAAATATGTATAAAAGCGATTAATTTATTAAATTATTAAAAATAAGGAATTTATATATGTAACATTTGTTATACATATTTACGTAGTTCTTTTTATATTTCTTTTAACTATTAAATGAAGTAGAATTCATGATTTATATTTTTACGATATAACTTTTTTTTAACTCAGTTGAATTAAACCGAAAAATTTCTTTTTCATAATTTTGAATAAAATAGCATTCATGATGTATTTTTAAATAATGGATTTTCTATTCATAATTTTGAATAGTATTTATGGCTCATTTTAAGAAAATTTATTGGGCCATTAAAAGAAAAACTTTTCTATATTCAATTGAATTAAAGAACTGCCTATAAAGAATTTCCTATTCAGAATTTTTAATTAAGCAGTAGTTATAATGCGGAGAAATCACCTCAATATTATTTTTAGATTCAATCGAATTGAAAACTGCATTTCCTATACAAAATTTTTAATTAAGCAGTATTCACGATGCATATCACATCACCCAAATAATATAATATTTTTAAATTGAAAAGTATAAAAATATGCTCCATCCTATAAATGAATAAAAATGCATTCAGGATTCATTTTAATATTCATAAATTCATATTTTTCTAAAAATCTGAATTCAAATCATTTTAATCCATTTCAATTCATTCTTGTTTGCTGCGTAGTATGATGTAACTGAGAACACAACGCAGTTAATATCAGCATACATAATGTGATATAAAAAACTTAAAACAATAGAACTCTTAATGTTCAAAGTATGATATGAAAGACTAATAAGAGTCAGAAAACATAAAAAAAAATCTAAATTGTTAGTTTAATATAATATAAGTATAATTGAAGATAGATATAACAAACAAGAACTGTAGAAAATAAGCAAGTTAAAACGCTACAAAATACAATACTAAGTACATGTTTCAACCATGTATTTAGACCCTCTTCAGCTGTATAAAAAATTCCAGCGCAGTAAAAATTATTATTCAAAGATTAAGAAAGCGACCGTTTCGTTACATAATTAGATGAGCATTAAAATAGAGAAAATTGCTCGTCAAGCGATTGATTAACCAGTTG